TATACATGCTTGCCTTAAACAAGAAATATGATTATTTTAGCTATAATAAGATCGAACAAAATAGCAAAACAGTTAAGAGAGAGGGAAATATGATAGGCGAAATACACGAACGAGACTTGACGTTCATTTTAAAGTCACGTGATAAAATTAACCAATCAAATTTGCTGTTATAGAGATAATGTATAACAATATATATGTAACGTCGTCTCCACGGATACACTTTCAGGTATTCCGTTTGACTCCTTAAGTTGTACCATACGTATCTTAATATCAGCTAGGGCAAAAAAAGCATACACATACTGATGTTTAATTGTCGATTGGTTTCAAAAATACTACTTCCTCTAGTGTTACTGGTCGGTCAGTTTTTATTGTGCGACGGTGTTCGGTTTGGTTTGATTTTATACTTTTTAACGTCCTATCAACAGCTAGGGTCCTTTTAAAGACTTGCCTCCATGAGTGTTTTGTATGCATGCATGTGTGTAAGTGTGCCGGTGAGAGAGTATGTTGGTGTATTTGCCTCCTTGTGATAGCGCGGATTTGATGCCGACTTTATAGTGCTATCTCACTGAAATACCATGCTGAACCACCCAGCACAGCATTCCGCCTGATCACATTATACTGACAACGGGTGAACCAGTTGTGGCCATTCCCCTAAATGCGGAACGTATATTGTTTAAAACTTCCATCATAATGATAGCATAATACCCATGTGACTGTGTAGTCTTATCGCACGAAATACGAATCATCACATTGCACTGTCCTTCTAAACACACTCGTTTGCTTTTACTCATTCTCCGCATGCACGTGAGATGTACGTCCGTGTTATTGAAACAGGAACGAGAAAGATCTGATCGTTCTAGCTGGGTCTCCCTGAGGTGATTACGTAGGCATGGACAATCCTTGTTCTAATTACCTAGGAATTTCCCCAGTGTCCTCTGCAGTACCCCACTAATCCTGCACCAATTCAAATAGACAGGCCAGGGTTGGTACAGCAACAGTAAACCTAACACAGAGCGAGTTTTCTTTGACACGTATCGTGCTAACGTTACACACAATAGCTGCCTCGAACGTACACTGACGTTCAGTATAGATTTATCACTAAGTTTGCTAGTGATATAGGTCCCTTGTTTTTTTAAATCCAAAGACTTATTGCTCTCTTGAGCTTGTTTCGACCTTAGCGTAACCTAGATACAATAACAAATGCTCTGCTAAGGCCAATATATATACCAACTCGGATCAAATGCATACACATATTCAAAGGTCGTCGGTGTGCTATTTGAACAACATACACAATAATCTATGGGGTTTCATCGATTTGACGTGCGTTTTTGACACACATCTCACACCGGTATCAACTTTTAGGCTGTTAAGATTTATCTTTCACCATATAAAGCTTAAATCATAGTCTCACAAAGTTACAGTCATGCGCTATTAGTGCAGAACTGAAGAACAAATTTGTATGAGACATGTCCTCAGCTAATTGTATTCCGTCTTGTGCAAAGATAGGAAATGTTGATAGAAGTATTTCAGTCTCAAAAAGGTGTAGCTCATGTGATCAAAGGCCATGTTTGGTTATCACAGGAGTGCAAGTAAAATTTGCGTGCGAATCCAATTACTTGATTTAATATTCAATGTTATTTATCATTCTTTCGATTATTATAATGTTTATCATTTTTTCAACAATGAAGTGTTATGTTCTACCATTAATAACTTCATATTGGAAACGGTTGAGATTCGGGTTCAAATATTGAATATGAAAAGGAATATCACTAAATTAATACAGGCTGAGTAGGCACGCAGTAGAAAATGGACTCCTATAGGGGATCATATAGGGACGTTACTTGAAGGCTGATTCCCACACACATGGTCCTCAGACACGTTCAAAGTACACATATGCAGGAGCGAAACCTTGCGAAATCGATCTTATCTAAACGTTTTCTGTTTCAGACACATCGTATTTGTTCAACATTTCAAAATGGTGAACCAAAAGCTAAAAAACCTTCATCAAACTTATTTAAGACAGGACTTACAGCCATTCCCTAAATAAAAGTATTCTTTCAATATCTTAAAACCCCAGGCTTACAATATCTTATGTTGTCTATGGTATCGAGTGTGTTTTCTGAAATCTGACATATGCTCGTGAAAGTCCACTGCAATTTCGATCAAAGGTTAATGGTCCTAGTTGGCAAAAAACCGTCAGCAGATTCGATGTTTATATCAACTTTTCAACCTCCTGGTAATTCTATTCTGTCTACACCCGTATTTCAGTTAATAACATCATGACATACGTTGGAGACCACATCGGAACGTAACCAAATACATCCGGGCACTGTTTGCCAAACGGATGCTATGACCGTTTAGACATTTCCCAGTCCTGGATGCAGACATACAACTATGATATATGTTTTCACCCCCACGACAGGCGTCCTAAAATGTAGTTGCAATAGTCGCCGGTATTACAACAACGTAAAGTTTGAAGACCTTAATGGAACTTTAGAGGAACTATATAGTATACGCTCCACTGTAGTTGTCTACAAGTGGGTTCAACAAAAACTTACTTGGAGGGTGCATCGATTACTAATGTCTGTTCGTACGGATACTCACGGCGTTCCAGTAACTCCTATTATTTCACTCAGTGTAAATTGCCAGCTATGTGTTAGATGCTATTGCAATCAGGATTATCCTACAACACAAATTTGTCGAATCTAACATATCAGCGTTTTTCGAATACAAAAGTATTCAATATTATTTAGTTATTTCAACGACACGTTTAACGTTAGAATAGACCGTCCTTACTCACATCCTCATATACATGTATCTGTGGTTCAGCTTGACACGTCGTCACCGGAAATATAAATAGTATCCATGATACAAAGCTACGTAAGCTTTTCATGAAAGGCTCAAAAGTGTCGGGAGACTCATCTTTTCAATTGGAATTGGAATTTCTGAAAATATATGTATTCTGTCGAAGTAAGTCATTTAGAATGTCAATGTAGAATGCCAAGCAATGCACCAGATGGTGTTTTTGACTTTTTACGACCTTTCAGTAATACTTCGAGTCAAATAAAATGAGTCAAGTAAAGGCTAAATGGTGCAAAAATCGAGTATGTTATGTTACTGTTCCAGAATTAAATCCAGCTACAAGTTTACGTCTGACCTTGGGGACTAATAGAACAAAAGCAGAGTAAACCACCTTATGTTCTGTGTCCTTGGATGTGAAGGTAAAAAGGCACAAAGACTGTTCACACATAATGGCCACATAAACAGCTGCTTCCAAATGTCATCGTAATGAAAATCATACCCTAGGCACTGTAGCGACACTCTTCTTAGTCATATGACCCTGACACAGGATTATCAGTTGTTTCTAGGGAGACACCGCTAAAGGAAAGAAGTATATATTTTTTGTGGGAGAGAAGAACGAAGGTAGAGGCGCAAACTGTTGCAATGAAGGTAGAAATAGAATCTGGTTCTCCAATGCCAGGTTTATAGAGGAGACGGTGACAAAATATTCATGATTCTGAAGGGGGTCTAAGTTAGTCGGCTCTTTGGATCACATAACAGGTTTTTCTTTCCTTCAACATGCACAGGGGAATACTGTACTAACATATATAGCATAGTTAACACGAATTACTGATAAAGTTAATACCCATTATACATAACATACCTGAGGAGGTACTTGACTGTCGATACGTGTAGAAGTTATGTAATGATGTGTGTGTGTGTCTATGCTTAGTTCAGATATCACTAAAACAGGATCTAACTACAACTAATGCTTACCAGAACCAAGTTGCTCAAAGCCTGGTAACCTTAGTGATTCACAAATAAAAAATTAAAATTGGAATTTAAAAAAAATAAAAAATTATAAGCCTAAAAATATTTTTTGCGTTTTATTTTTTCCGAAGATTGGATTTACTCCCTGTACATGTAGTTTATGTTTTGAACGTGAAAATAACATTAAAAAGGAAATAAAATGTTGGTTTTAATTTCTCGGTCAGCTAACCAGACTTTTATCAATTGGGCACATGACTCTACGAAAGGCTTCGTCCTATCGAAACGCCCTACCTTCACTTTTAAATTATCTTGTAATACATCAAACCATCTTAATGAGGCACTAAAAATCCCCCATATTATAGCAAAGTAATCCAATGAGCATTACTGGGCCGTTTATGTAATAATGTACATTTTCGGTATTAAAATATATAAGTAGATGGGATCTTATCTCTAAGTGGTGTACTTTTACCGAAGACGCACTCGTGTACTACAGAGTTGATACAGAACTGGGGCATGCACGTACTGCTAGAGGTAAAAAGTTAATAAAGTTAGGGAAGCAAACATATTAAAGTACATTATCCGAGGAAACATCGACACAAGTGTCATTGAAATTTACGACATGTACGTTTTAAAAAGAAGCATCAAAATGTAAGATATCGCGAAAATACCCTAAGCTATAAACAATAATTGTATTAAAAGATTCACTGTTGACATCAGAATAAATGTGTTAAGAACTAAATCAAAACAGTCAAAACGAAAAAGAAAGGTCGGTATCACAATTCATATTTCTAATCATTGTTCATTAGTTACATTTGAATTAGAGAATCGGGCGATTTATGAATTCATTAAGGATTAATGAAATAAAATATGTTTTAAGCATGTTACAAATTTGTTCGTTTCTTGTTTTTGACTCTAAGTTATTTGGTCCTTATGTTGACGGTGAAGTATTTTGTATTGTTTACAGTGTTAACGATCAAGTATTTGTTTGATTTCCTTGTTTTATGACAGCCTACACTGCGGAACAGCGGCATGTAAGACACAGAAACCATGAGTGTAATGTCTGCTGGTCTGTTTGAAGACGTAAATCCTCCATAAAAAGGGAATGCATGTATTAATGTATGAAAAGTAAATCTTCGCCTCTATCATGCATTTACTGCATTATTAAACCTCTTAATTTTCATTTTTAGTTGATGTGTTCTCGTTTCTAAAGTCTGCCATTGTGTTTACAGGTGAGCAACATGTACATCGTGAGTCTAGCGGTTGCCGACCTGATCGTGGGGTTATTTGTCATGCCCGTCAGCGCCATCTACATCTTCACGGAGGAATGGCTGTTCGGGGTGGCCATCTGTCAAATCTGGATCGTCATCGACTATACCGCCAGTACTGCTTCCATCTTAAATCTCTTCATTCTCAGTGTGGACCGTTACTGGTCAGTTACCTCCCCCTTAAAATATCTCCGAAAACGGACAAAACGAAGGGCGCTGAGAATGATTTCAATAGTTTGGCTTGTTTCAAGTTTGTGGGTCATTCCCATTGTGTCCTGGCATCATATAGCAAACAGTGGAATCAGGCGAGTAGCATCCACTGTGTGCGACACGGAATACGCGCACGATTCGGTGTTCAAGGTTATAACAGCCTTCTTTAATTTCTATCTTCCACTTGCAATAATGTATAGCTTATATGGAAAAGTATTTCACGAGATACGCAAACGATCCGCTTTGGAGTTGGGTCAGAGGTACGCAAGACCAATAGTGGTAGATAATCTGCAGTACACCGCAGATTCTCCAACTTTAGAAAACAGCAGCGACGGGAGATTGGATTCTTTTTCTGATGAAAACCATTCCATAAAGACGGATTCTAGTAATTATTCCTCTATAAAACTCGCGCCGTGCAACCTTGTACGCTCAAAAAAATCTAAAAAGTATAGAAAATCAAAACCATCAAAATCTAAACGCAAACATTACAAGAAACACAACCTCGAGGAAAATACTTTTAATCCGAAGTGCAAGGTAGAATATATCTACGATGAAAATGTCTTGGATCCGAAAACAGAGAAAGTAGAACGTTTTTTCTACCAGGAACATATACCTATGAGTACGAAACCGACGCGTGAGATTTTAATCAATCCCCCAATAACTTGTAACGAGCCTTCCATATCTTCTGGTGGAACCCCTGTGAGTTCCAGTAGCGAGGACAGGCGGACATTGGGGTATAAGAGTAAAAAGGACCGACAGAATTATTCTTTAATGAGCGGATTGCGTCAGATACGACAAGCCGAGCACATTCTCGACCACACGGTATCCGTGTCTCGGGACGGTAATGGTGTGACGCATATTCGGAACTCCTCTAACGGACGGGCGAGAGGTGGGACGGCAGTGATGTACGACGATGAGTCGAACCGTCGTCTATCCTCTTCGCTGAATATCAAACACAGAATAAAAAACATCCGACAAAGTTCTTTAAAAAAGGAAATAAAGGCTGCGAGACAACTCGGAGTGATAATGGGTGCATTTACCTTGTGCTTTCTACCGTATTTTATTTTGTTCCTCGTTATAGCGTTCTGTCCGGATTGTATACATCCGGATTTAATGACTGCTATGACGTGGATTGGCTACTTGAACTCAACTTTAAATCCAGTTCTTTACCCACTGTGCAATATCAACTTCCGACGGAAGTTCCGTAAAATGATGAGACTAGATCGTGATCAAAGACGTAGACGCCATAACATTAGGACGGTTGAGAGGAATAGTTTTACAATGAGGTATGACTGACCTAACATCGAAATATATTCAGGAATTTATCTGCTATGTGATTGTATCATCATCATCATCATCATCATCATCATCATCACCGTTGTCGTTGATATCTTCATCGTCATAATCGTCGTAGATAATGCATTTTTTTATGGAATATTAATCATATCCTTACGTTGTTTAAGTAACTAAGTTCGAGCGGACAAAGTACTACATGTGATATACTTGGAGCGCTTATCACACGCCAGTGGACGACACGAGCGGTGCACGTCTCGGGTGGGTTCCGTGTTCCCAGTCATCAGCGTGGTGACACAAATTATCAATCAAGACGTGGGTTGGTTATCGCCACATAAATCTCACCTTAGGATGATTGCTAATCGATTGAAAAAAAGGAAAATGGGAGGCTAGGGGGGGATAGCGGATTGTAATACCCTGATACACGCCATCCAGGTATATATTACCAACTAAAGTGCTGAAGTTTCTTTAAAAAAAAATAGTTGGCTTTAATTTTAGAAAACGTGGGAAATATAGGCCGGTGAGAGTTAATAGCATTACATTGATTCCTATTGCTTTGGTATCTTTGAAAATATATAGAAACAACACCGTGTTCTGAGATTGGAATTTAAGTGTTTAACAGCCGATAATCAATCTTTAATACACGTACTTCAAACAGGCGCTTCTAATTTTAGGTTTCACGATCGATTAGACGAGACTATCTCTCTACCGGTTTATCAGCTAATGAATATACTGGGGCTGAACTTATTGGGAATATTCCTCACATGAAGTTGACGTAATTAACTGTCAAACTATCAAAAGTTCAAAACACAGACATCGCAAATTTACGCCAGTTATCCCTAAAAACGTTTTAATTGGAGGGTAATTAGGAGATGAAACTTGGCAGTCAGGATGAAGAAGTTTCGTACATCAGTAAATCGAGGGTAAAACAATAATATTATATAGGTCGGCACTGCTTGTACTTAAGTTGACTATTTTTATAATCATACAAAACTACAATACATTGTTTGAACATGCTCTTTTAATTTACAATTATTTATTCACGTTGAATATGGATTGGTTTGGCGGATCCCAACATGTGATTAAACAATGTTATACTCGATTTATAACAAACAAATCTTGATTTGTTTTCTTTTTTTATATTAATCTAAAGTTTAGAATTCGTTTTTGAACGGATTATTAGGAACATTGAGATCGGAATAAGGGAAAATAGAAGGAACAGAGCAAAGCACAAAACAAAAAGGACAACATCGGATGAAACTATTCAAGCAAACAGAGTTCACAGGGTAATAATGTGTGATCCTAAGAAAGGATATAATAATATACAGTACACTGGGAACGACAACAGATACTGCCATATTAGAAGGTGTTCATTGGCCAAATCGACCGAAACCTTAATACGAACACCACACACGTGGAACAGCAACAGAAATCTACATACAACGGAACACACGGTGGGAACAACAAAAATATCCATGAAAAATAAATACACCAGGAATACCCGGGCGTAAAACAAAAGGTTACATTACATAAACTTCCATACATAATGAGAATTCTCGGGGCAAGATAAAAGTTTTCTATACAAACGAAGTACACGAGTAATAAAAACAGAAACCTCCACACAGGGACAACAATAGCGTTACCATCCTACAAATAGCGTGCACACTTTTATTACATGTGCACGATAAGAGGCACCGACGTTTCCTATATCTCAAGATCACCTATAGCAAACCCCATAAATGGGGAGTACATGCGGAGTACAGGCGGCCAACAAAAACTGTCATACAAACGGAGAACACGTTGATAGGATATGCTATGTGAGACAACAACGAGTTTAAACTGAAACCTGTCTAATCCGATCAAACAAATTGGTGTGATACGACTTGGTTTCCTAATACACAGGTTGGACTTGGTAGTTTTCATTAGAAGTAGGCTCAGAACTGTATCTCAGTTACTAAAGGATATGACAATACTCCTGGGTCGTATTCGACAGATTTCATTGTAAAGGATTGCGACATTAAATCCTTGTAAGACAGCCATCATTGTGTCACGGAAAATGCATGTGTCACTGATGTCTACAGCACGATCACGTTATAGACACTGAATCCTTGTAAGACAGACACCAATGCCTCTTCCATCATAATTATCTTTTGCATAATGGGCACATATATATACCGCATTTCCGGCAGTGCTGGAGAATTTATATCTGACTCGTGAGCGCAGATCATTGCACATGCAAGTTAATGCGAAAACTTGTATTTTCCGCCAAGGGAAGTAATTCGCGCTAAGTTCACTACTAAGCGATCGTACAGTTCTGTCTGTTTTTTTAGTTTATTGTTGTTTTACACAAAGACATGAAAAATAAAGTTTACCAATTTGCTACAGTAAAGCAGCTGATCTCGGTTTTAAATGGTTTACAAGAAACCGAATATATATGTCTGAGGTGAGGTATAAATAAGGTCATTCAAACCCTTGGGGTAGTATATTTAGCAGAGACCCTCGTAAAGTTCCGGGTCTCTGCTTTCTATTTCATCCCTTGTGTTTGATTGAAATTATCCATACCTCCAACTGCAAAAACATTTTAATGAAAATTTATTTTTTAAGAAACAAATATGTGTTTGCCGCAACAAATATATCCAAACATCGCATTGTAGATTACAAGTGGGCGTTCCCGTAGCAGCTGTTTTACCATTATAAATGGTAGTGTATGGATACTCAATGTGTACCCCTATGGTAATCCATAATTAAATTTATGTCGTTCTTGTTCTAAATGAAACGAATAAAAAGGTTGGTTTAATTGACTTCACGAATAATTAAGACCTTGAACTTTCTTTAGTTTGTTTCACTAATGGCTACTTACATTGTATACTTCTACGTGCTACGAAATTAGATCACAATGATGTACATCATGATCTGACTTGATTAGCACGTGGCCACATTGGTGTCACTTTTCTATAGTGACTCTAATACATCACATAGAGGTTAACTCGATTTATTACAAAATAAGCACACTGATTGGATGCAGGTTTGCCAAATTTATTTCGTTCTCTCCGTTACTATATAAATACAATGTAATAAAAAAAAAATGTTGTTTTCTAACCATTGTATGGTCTTTGCACAACAGGACATAAGATAGTAAGGCTTTCGGCTTTAATGTCTTTATAACTGAACTTTGACTAAGATATCTTATAGGTCATGGATTTGACCCCGTTTAACTAAGGAAAGATAATTTAGAAAATATGACCAATATAACGAAGTAGAGATCGTACGTTCAAAATGAATTACTTCTGTTCCACAATACCAACATTCTCAACAACAACAAAAACAATGTAGGTAATACTATGATCATGTTGACAATTACATATTTTAGCTAGAAAAAGTAGTCATTTATTATTAGACCAACAAAGTAAAGATTTCCACTCCTTCAACATACTATTCATATAATATACCGCTTGATGAACCCCGCCATAGAAGCAGTTATTTTGGTTTTAGATAGCTGTTAAAACTATTTGATTTTCCTCACTACTCACTATAATAGTATTTGACCTTTGACCCTTGCACATAATCTATTTATTCATACCTTAATCCGTGTACGAACTGCATATGTTGAGGAAATTTGCTTTTTTTCTAGATCCCGTAGAACTGGGTAAGGAAATGTCTGAGCAGTAGTACCCAGAACGGCATATGCGAAATGTTGATTTTAAAATGGCCAATAAGAAGATAAGATAGTGTCTTGAACAGGAGACCAAAACATCGTTAAATTCCAACAGATCATGTAGGATATAGATTTACGCGAGATTGTGTAAATTAGTTAAACTCGCGAGAGCTATTTACCAAAGAGAACTAAAACAGCCTACGTACCAATCTGATATCTCGTCATGGCGGATTGTAGGTAATCATACATGTATTTAGTAGCTGGAAAGACTTCATTAACGATAAATGGACAGCAACACTGGGGAAGCTGACTAGTTTACTAGTGCCAGAGGTAAGGAAGCATACAGAAGGGGTACGGAAACAAGGATACAAAGAAGACGACATTGATCAACGTTATGTATGATTTAATGATAACTAAGGATAAATAGCATGATTAAGTGCATAACAATGAAGGGAAAACAATGTATATCACGCTTTTAAAATATGGACTTGACGGAAATAGTTAAGCAGTAAATAAAAATCGTTCTCTCAGACTAGGTATATTTAGAATCACAAATTAACTGTGTCCTGTAATCCTTTACATAAACTGTTTTATTACAACAATAAAAAATGCACGGAAAAGCTACCAGGAACCATCTTTACTCATTTGATATCGTCTGCGTTGCTGTCCTCAAATCGATAACAATTTGGAAGGGACATTTCCGTCGAGAAATTACGGAAATACACGAGGGACTTAGTCGAGAGAGTGAATTGGTTTCAAACTAACGCACACCTGGCTGACGACTGCTTCCCTGGATTGCGAAGCCATGGCAAAATCGGGGATATAGTCAATTTAACCATTGCTTTTATGTAGTATGAATAAAGTATATATAATGGTAATATGTTTTACGGCACGGCCGTTAGTGAGGGCGGAGCCAGGTTGTACTGTAAATGTATCGGAATATCGGTACTGTACTCTTTCAAGCATTGAGTGATGTGTTGAATGACTAAATCAGACCTACATGTATAGCTATACAGTGTATATTACAGTTAAGTTTCCTTTCTTGATTTCTTTTTGGCTGACAAGATGTTTGATATCTTGAAGTTTTCCGCCTAGGCGTATGATGACATGACATTAATGTGAGAATGCGAAAGGTTCATTAGACTCTATATAAGTATTTAAATTTGCACCTCTTGAATCCATTGCAAAAATCAAGTGCAGCATATTCTACAAAGACATTGAAATAAAACATATTAGGATGGATATTGTTAATCATGTATAATAGCATAGTTATCTGATATCCACGAAAAGATATACATATATATATATATATATATATATCTTTACGAATAAGCCCTTTGGATTACTTCAAACTTAACCTCAATGAT